ATAAATTCTTTGTATATAGGAACACTTTGGGTATCAAGAACCTCTCGCTCGCGTAATTACGTTGGGCTGCTTTTCGGATGTGGTCTTGCATGGTCTTGGCTATTGACTATTGATGAATCTGCTCTTCCTGTGGTACAAGTATGTCTCGACTTAACTCCCACTTAGTACCAACAGAAGATACTCCACAACCTTAGGCGATGGACTTCACTACGCTTTCCCAGGAACATCGAGAGACCTTTACAAGCAAGAATGCCCTCGGCCTTCATGTGCATTCTGAACACTGTCACCAATCACTCATCCTTGCTCTCCCATGCTTTTGCAAGGTCCAATTTGGTAGAACAAAGCAGCAAGGCTGGCTGGCAGACTCCCGAACAAGCACCTCCTGGAGCTTCCGACGCAGTTCACTGGCCACAAGATGTACCGTTTTGGTGACACACCTCGAGGACAGGAGCAAACCACAGGGATTCAAGGGATCAAAAGCTGCCTGGGGCTCTGTAAATCACGAATTGAAATTCAAAATCAAACTGGGACCGTTGCTGTCCATCATGGGCGTCTTGGTCGCGACAATATCGTACACTAACACGGCTCGTCACAGTAACATTGGTTTCCCTGGGTGTCCCTGAAATCGCCTGAAGAACTCCTCTTTCGTCACCACTGGGACATTGGCTTCAAGTGTACCAGTGACAGCAAAAGCCTGGCACCCGGATGCAAAAGGATGAGCCTCAAAAGTGATGTCTGCTCTGCCAAACAAGCTTCCTGGAAGCAAGCGTCGTGGTTGCTGCGTACAGTTGGCTAAAAAATGGCTTTGCCCAGGCCTCAATGGCTTCCCAAGTAAGCCTGAGGCGGCGCAAGCGGTCTGTATTTGGTATTTTTTCTTGTAAGAACAGTCCGTGCGGAACCTTGCTTTTGCCGCAGCAATATAATTGCTCAAAAACCAACTATAGGCTATTAGGTTGGAGGCCATCGCAAGCCATTGCTAGGGAGGCAAACTATAGGTCAATCGATTCGATTCCTATGACACACCTGGTCTTTGCAGAGTGATCTCCATGCCAAACATCCTGATCCGATCCCTTTCGATTCGTCAAGAAGCTCAGTGGAACCAAGGGAATGTGCAAAGGTCCAGAGTAGACGCCGCAACTCCACACGCCTGGAGGAAGTTGTAGTTGGAACTTGGAATCTTTTAGCTTCAGACTAAACATTGGACCTCCATGGACCTCCTTTATTTGAGGGAGGGGTTACCGGCAACGAGTCAGAGCAGACCTCGCATGGAAAGGGTTCTGAGACTTTGCGACAAGAGATTTGGACACAAACAGCCTGGACACATCTGGATCCATATGGACTGCTGTCATATGATATCCTCATCTCCAGTGACTCCAGCGGCCACCTCATGGTTCCATGAGCATCCAGCCCAGCTCGACGGAAATGCGCATCACACCTGTTGATTCATGGCAAAGCGAGCGAGAAGGTGACAGGATGTATGGGTGCAATTTACCTCAACTAGCAGTGAATAAAGTCTTAGAGCACTTCAACGAAAACGAAGAAAAACAGCCAGGCCAGATCTGAAATTTGGCTCCACTTTTGAGCTGGTGTTGACCGCGGCATCGGCTGTGCATTTGCGGGCGAACGAAGCACTCGGCATTGTCTCCGAGTTGCTGGAACCCGCGGCATTGGCTCCCCTCCTTTCGCTTGTCAAAGCCTCAGCACATCATAGCACCATACAGCGCTTGTCACTCAAGCTCTGCGAAGGTCATCATCTCTTCCTGAATCACATGTGCAAGATACTTCTTCAAATCAGCCTCGCTCTTGTAGCGAGGCAATTGTAGTAGGTTGGAACATGTTGCGGCTGTAGGATAGAAGGTTCTCAGCTTTCGGTCCTCTGGTTTGGATTTCAGGACAATTGTAAAGGGCATGCTCATATCTTGAGACTTCAAGTGCTTAAAGCCTCCGATGGGTGAGCTACTCTGCCCTGTGACAAAGCGAAGCAAAAGCCTCCGGTCTCTGTTGCTCATGGCGGCCACTGCATCCCAAAACCATTTCACCACCTTCGTCCTTTCAGCTGCACCAGGACCATCATACTTGGTGCTCCTCTTCCAGTCCTGAACGTCAATCTCATCGTTTCCAAAGAGCAAAGAGTCAAAGTCTTCCACCTTCAAACAAGTGGAAGCTGCGAGAATCAACGCCTGGGGAATGAAAAAGTAGAAGCCACTCTTGAGACTTGACAAGTCATCTTCATTGCTCCGAAGCCGGTATGCAGCGTAGAGGTTTGCGTAGATGTCAACATTGGACTTGGTGACTGGCATCTTCTCCCCATTCCACGTCAAGCTCACCCTGCGTCTCTTGCCAAAGTGCACTTCGTCAACAGAAAAGTCTAAGTCCAACTGCCTGATGACTTCTGCATCAAGGTCCCTCAACTGGTTCAGCCTTTTGTATAGAGCTTCATCCACCTGGGCCAAATCTTCTGGGCAAAGCTCCAAGCCCAGCAACTCCTTCAGGAGCGGCTTCGCAAAGCGCACTGGAAGATGCTGCTCCTTCAAAAGAGCCAGGCTCATCATCTTCCCCACCAGCTTGTAGTAAGAGCTCCGCAGCTCGTTAAAACACGGTCTAGAACTCATGGCCAAACGAGGTGGGTCTGAGTCCGTGGTCACGAAAAGGTTGTAGTCTTCTTTCGAAAGCTCAGAAGAAAACACCGAGAAAAGGTCTTTGACCAAACCTGCTCCTTGGCCAGTCTCCTGGCCAAACATTACATCCTCCATGTGTGGAGTTAAACGGTCATGCTGTTGACAAATACTTTGCAGCACTTGTTTTCGGTCGACTTGCAACAGCGGCAGTGCTTCATACTCATCCGCAATAGGCGCGTACATCAAAATACATTCCAGGACACCTCGAAACCAATTGATTTTTTTCTCAAAGTTGCATCCTGTCAAGTTGCGGGCCTCCTCCAAAAGCAAAGGTTTTAAGGCCGCATCCAAGGGCTCTGGGCACAAGGGTCCATGAAAGCCATGCAGCACAAGCTCATCTCGCTTGTAGAACTGAGAACACAGGACCTCTGAAGGGGTCCTGCCCTCAGTATCTACCAAAGTGGCATCTGCTCGAGCTCCTAGAAGCTCCTGAATGTTGGTAACTCCATCTCTGCAAACGATCCAACCAACGGTACCACACAAGCAATGCAAAGGAGTCATGCCTTTGCTACACATGGCATTGACCTCCGCCTTTGCATGAAGAAGGAGTCGAGCTGATGGAAGAGCATTGTTGCTGCAAAGCTCGTGCAGCGCAGAGATCTGCTTTCTTGTGCGCAAGGTCGCATCTGCCCCAAGTTGAAGCAAATGCGCTGTCATCTCTGGCACCACGAACTCATTGCCACAGAGATCCATCAGGGGTGTTCGGCCTGTTCTGTCTCTGGCATTCACATCAGCCCGGGCTTGCAAAAGCTGCATACTACAGCCTTTGAATTCTGACACGTGCTTTGTGCTGAAACAAAGATGATGCAAACATGTACAGCCTTTGGCATCTTTTCTCTTCACTGACCAACCTTCCAACAATAGCCGAGCTATTGTTGCCTCTCTGTCAGAACAACAACTTGGAAGGCAAGCTGCGTGCAAAGGAGTGGCACCAGGTGTCCACTCGAGCCATGGATCACGTGGCATAGCTTGCAAACTACGAAAAATACACTTATTTCAGGTCTTGCATGGTGTGACTGCCTGATCAACAATTCAACATCATCATTGATTTGACATGGCATAATGAATCATAATGATATTGTTGGATAATGCTGAAGCTTCTGATCTTCATTTCCCTACTCATTGACAAAGCAACTTGAACCGAACAAATACACATGATTACACATGTGTAAATGTCAGACAAATCTTTGCATATTAACGAAGCGTGTTCCAGAGTCATGCGCTGCTAATCCCGTCTGGACAATGAAAGGTTGGACCCAACAGGACCCGTCTGTGCAAAACTTGGACAACCAAGCTACATCCAATCCGCACAAGCGACCACAAAGGCCATAAGTCTTGCACAAAGGCGAGGACGTCTGTGGACAGCTGAGATACAGGCTCTCGTTCAAGGGTCTCTGTATCCAAGAGCAACTTCTCCACTCTCTGCAAAGACCTCTTTAAACACACAAGTGGCAGTCAACATCTTAAACAAACGCAAGTGGCCCGGCCACAAGTGGCCCAAACGCACAAGCTGCAACTGAGTGGCACAGCAAGTTGCTGCGGATCTTGGAGACCGTCACCCTTCGCACGCACCACACAGGGCGCGAACGAGGCAGCTGCCTAGCGGGCAATGTGGAGATCTTTTTGACCCCAAGAGCTGCTGCCTAGTTTGTGATTTCTTCACCAATCCCGAACAACCCCAAACAACATGTTGTTTCCAGTATCTTCGAAGCTTTCGGCCCGAGTCCAAGACGGCAAGAAGCGTTTGGGGTTCAACGGCCCTACATTCGCGCGGCAGCCACGAAAAAACTCGCGGCTTCAAGCCTGCTGTCCCATCTTGATGCATGAAGAGCCACATTAAGGCAGCGATCAGTTGCTTTGTATCATGACAGCTGGCTGCTTGGGCTAGGGCACTAGCCCTGTCAGCTTGTGTGGGAACCCCAGGGTGGTTGGCAAATGCACTGTACAAAGTGTCCATCCGTGTGTGGTGATGAATGAGGATGACTGATGCTCAGTTTATAATAACAAGAGCCTTTCTTAGTCAAGCAAGCACTATGCAATGCCTCTTCCAAGTGCAACTGCTTCAACTTCCACTTACTCTTGTATATGTTGGCACATCTGCTGGGGATCCTGTTGGAAGATGAAAGGGCCAAATGGCTCTTTTGAAGCATGGGCCGTCCGGTACAACGTGCAATGCTGGATTGTGCTGCAAGTACAGTAATCATTTACAAGACAATAAGGCACACATCTACTTGGCTAAGCCAGGCCTGGCCAAAGGGACTCCAAGCAGTCTCCGAAATCCATGCTTGGAACATCTGGACAGCTACGACAAGCAACCGAGGCCTGCATCTCTGGGATACTACTTCGCATCCGCGCTTCTTCCTGCAAATGTGTGATCCAAAAAAACAAGCTGGAACAGAAACATAAACAAGATCGAATGATGAGAAAAGTCAGCGAAGACCTTGGCGTGGTATTGGTGGAGAAGTTCCTTAAATACTATAACATTATATATAATGCCAAAACCACTATCAAAAACAAACTTGTGTCTGACCATCGCCAATCCAAAATCTCTGTCCACCTGCTCTCACCACAGTCCTGTGCATAAGCTTGGATAATCCTCTCACGGCGTTGCATCCAAAAGTAGGCACCAACCTATAGGTCGAAGGCGTTTCTGTACATCAAACCTTGGGGCTGACCATTCCTCTGGCTTGGCTCTGAGTACCCAAACAGCCAGGCCCATGATCAGCAGAAGAATGAAGAGCAAAGGTGTCGGTGAGAACACCTTGCGAAGGAGATTAAAACAAAAAGCACATGATGAACCATTGACCAACCTCATCCTAAACTGGACAACTTGATCTGCTTGATTCCTCAACATTCATCAACATATATCACCATTTATGCACACCATACAGCTAGTGGACACATCAACATCTGCAATAGGTCGACCCCACCTCCAATGCCGTCGGAATTGGTAAAGACCTGAGCACGACTTGGGTCGAGCCATGAACTGCAAACGATTCTTACTTTATGATCTTTGACACTTGCTGGAATATATAACTGAATCAAACACAGTGAGAGAGCGTGCAAACGTTCTTACAGGTGTAGGTTGGTGCAATTTGCTGACATACGCTGACATAAAATGTTGTCAAATGCCTTTGTCTCCTCACGATCCTAAGGCCATGACAAACTTGAAATCAACGAAGGCATCACCTTATGTCTATGACTGCATCGAAGTGTAGATTCAATCCTCAAACGGTCTCAGCCCCACCCCCCTTGAGAACATCTGGATACATTTGGTACACCCTCGAAACACTTGTTGGCAGTCAGTAGAAAAAACAAACAGGGGAAACAGTCAGAATTCCAACCGGTTCACGTGTGTAGCGGTCTAGAGTACAAAACCTCCAAAAGCGGGCGGGCCAAGCGAATGGTCCACCGATGTCCAACGTCAAACAACGCCAAGTCATCCTTCTGGACGACTGATGGAGCAGCATGGAGCACCCGGGTCGTGCCATGGATACGGAGTTCGACATTCTTTGGACAGAAATGGAATACACCGGTGACATCCGGTGACACCATTGGCCGTGCCACTTTCTTCGGATGACAGGAGAATCCTAGGGTCAGGATTCGATGTCCTAACGTCAGGAGTAATAGAGTTGTACACTGCTAACCACACAATTGCCGAAAACTATTTCCTTTTGCCTTGTAAAATTCATTCAATATGCAACTTCAATCTGAGGACCTCGCGACAGTTGGCATATCTGCACCTGGAAAAATTATCATGCAACAACAACAACAACAGCAACAACGCAACTCCCGATTCAGTTTGCCTCCGCAAAGGGCGTCTGAGAAAGAGATGCCAATCTATGCCAATCTGGTGATTTGTCACACACTGATAGGACAAATCAGCGACATTTCTGATGTTGTGATTGTGCAAACAACTATATATTCAAAAACAAAACAATCCTTCAACATGAAAAGTTGTTTGAAAGAAATTATGCATGTTTCACGTGACATCGCAGTGTCTTCCTCTGCCACACATCCCTCGAGCCAAAGAACCAAGGTTGAGATCCCGCAAAAGGTTGAACTTAAATAAACGATTTGATGACCCGCCCTGCCCCCCCCCCACAGTCATTTCATACAGTGTATATGTTTGATGTTATTAATTAATTAAACACTTCATCTGCGGATCGAAAATAAGAATCAGCTGCAAAATGCTGCTCAAACCCACACAAACTGTTTCCCCAATCCCAGCACATTCGAATCCCCTCTCACGGGCGTGTTGCCCATGCGATAAATCATCGTAAATGTCGGATGGCTACAGCCTACAGCATAGAAGTGTTTCAAGTGGCCGGTGACGAGCTTGTTCTGTCTGGCAATTCATTGTGCAGTTGCAAGTCACCGGACTGCTTGTTCAGCAATTTGTGCATCGAGTGCACGAATCACAGCGTCTTCCTTGGATGGTTACCGTTTTTCCACTGGTTCCTTCAACCACGCACAAAACAGCCCTCATAAGTTTTGTATCTTGCATTGGCATATTGTTGCTGAATGTTGCTGACCTACTTTGCGAAACATATGAGAAACGGTGCCAACTCATGCCAAAAAACCTGTGTATAAAGTCCAGATTCCAGCAGCTCCCGCTTTTGCTGCTGCAACCAATCAAGGGAGAAGTGAGGAGATGGCACTTCGGTCTCCAGTGTGCATTGAGGTGAAGCCTTTGATTGGTGCGCAGGGCGAGTCTGGTCAGCACCATGCTTCGGGACGTCCGTCTTTTCCAACAACTTCTTGCACAGCTCCTCAACTTTACGCCTGAAATGGTCGCGAGACGCTGCCAATGTTTCAGACTTCACCTTCTCCTCACAAAGTTGCAACTGGAGTTTCCGAAGCTCCTCTTCATCAGCTGCAGAACCTGCCGTGTCATGCCTGTCCAGCTCAGCATTTGCTATGGCTTTCTGGTTCAAGCAGGATTGCAAGTCAGAGCAGCGAGCACGAGTCTCCGCCATCTCGGCCTCCAACTCTTTCAAACGCGTTTCCAGTTGGGATTGCCGCATCTGCTCAAATTCCAGGGACTGTCTGGCCTCAGCCTCCCGCAATAGCGTTCGACAAACTAGGTACCGACTTACAAACAGTTTGAGTCTGTGATTGAGGGTGTCATGCAAGAAAGCTGGTGGAGCGAAGATGTTGGTTTTCCACAAGCATGCACAACAGGCACAGTGTTCTATGTGAAGAAAGATGGTTTGCATGTGTTGGTCGCTTGTCGTGACATTCGGACCGATCGCTACTAGGTATAGCTTTTGAACCCTGCAGCCACATGTACGCGAATCGCGAAAAGCCGCTTTACTTGCATCTGCATTGCTTTGCTTGGTTTGCATTCCTTTGAGGGTTTTGCTTTGAGTTGGTTCACCCCCCAATCATCCGCATATTGGTAGCGGAGCCCTGAGGGGCGGGTCATTTGGTGCAGTGGTTTTGGGTTGAAACATAGGCTGCCTGCCTGCACCCCGGTTGTCCATGGAGACGACAACTGCCGCATCTGCCAGACCGGTGGAGTCAAAGGCTGATCCAGGGCGTGCTTCGGATGCCGGTGTGAAGACGGCAGCGGACGTGCCACCGCCGCCTGATGTCCCACCACCAAATCGTTCGCAGCAACCGAATGGTGATACTTGGAGTGTGGATGAGAATGGTTCGATGGCACAACCATCTCAAGCGGATTTTGAACAGTTTTGTGCCTGGTGGCGATCTCGCCAGTCGGCTGAGTCACAGGAAGGAACAGTCAGTTTGTTCAAGGGTGGTGACTCTTCCAGCCGACCTAGGAGGTCTCCTGGGAAACAAGACAGAGCTTCAGTGAACGCTGGTGAGTTTCCTCAACTTCAAAAAGAATCCCGAGATGACAAAGAATCACGTCGTGTCAAGGAACCTCAAGATGCTAAAGAATGTCATGATGATACCGGACGAGGACGACAGAAAGAACCTCCTCGAGCTCAGAACCGAAGAGATGAACCTGAGCGACCTACACCTCCTCGCCGGGATGATTCGACCTACTATGGCAAGCATGACAAGTCTCGTTCAGGTGACCGCAAAGTCAAGTCCACTCCTCCCTCGGGTCCCTCCGACCCGGTGGACTCAGAAGGTGATGATGACGATGATGACACCTTCTCCAGCAGTTGCCCTCCCATGGAGTCCGATTCTGTCAAGACCTCAGAGGTGAAGAGCATGCTGAGGCGTTGGAACAGCAGGAGAGACCAAAGGAATCTCTGGGTTCCGTTCGCTTTGAAGACTTCTATGGTGATCGTGGGAAGTACCCTAGCTGGCGACGGGTAGTCAAGGCCCAACAGCAGTTGTACAAGATTACAAGTTGGAGACTGTGGAGCTATCCATGTTGATTTATCTCAGCTGCAAAGAAGGAAGCTCGTGACGTCCTTGGCCAACTGACCCTGGACCAGATGGTTGCTCCATGTTGCTCCAAATGGCCTTGATCTCATTTGGAAGATTGTGGACGCGGCCTACAATGAGACCAGCGAAGAGCACTTTGAGAGAGTTGACGGAGAGTTCCAAGCCTATCGTCGCGCTCCTGGGCAATCGATCCCCTCCTACATTGCTCAGCTCTAGCGTCTCAAGAGCGAGCACCTCAGGGAGGACAATGGCACTCAGTTCAGTGACCGTGCATGGGCACAGCGGCTCCTTGTTCGTGCCTCCCTTTCCAAGCGGGAATGCCTGGACGTGTCCTACAGTGCAGGAGGAGTCTACGCTTCAAAGGAGATAGAGAAGGCCCTTCGTCGATGCCGCGACTTCCGAATCCCTTTCGGAGATCGGTGCCTCGTTTGATCTCGTTTGTCCTCTCGCTCAATGTCTTCTGCTTCATCCATGGCATCGTCCACCACAGCCTCTTCAACGGCATCACGCTTCAAGAAGAAGGGCAGCGGCAAGGACCATGGTACCCATGTCGCATTGGCAGAAGATGATGAACTGCCATTTGATGATGATGAGGAGGAGGAGGAGGAACACTTGGAGCATGATGAAGCCTATGAAGCTTTCGTGCAAGAACACGAAGAGCCTGGTGAAGAAGACATGCAGGAAGAAGGCAATGAAGATGATAAGCCGGTGGAGTCGTCGGTGACCCATGAAGAGCTCAAGGAAGCCTGGGCAGCTGGGTGGCGTGCAAAGGATCAAGTCGCTGAGAAGAAGAAATGGAGGAGTTTCCAGCAAGGGCAGCCGTCCAAGCCCATGCCAAAACAAAGTCAAGAGCGGCCAGATCCAAGGAAGCAAGCCACCACATGCTCCAGTTGTGGCACTCGAGGACACTGGCGAGGCGATCCAGAGTGTCCCAAAGTGAAGTCCGGTGAGGACAAGCCTTTTCAGCCCAAGGTCAAGACTGTCAAGCATGTCAATTTTGCCCAGACGCCACAGATTACACCGGATCCTGCAGAGAAGATCCCCAAGGAGGTGTTCACAGTGAAGCATGTTGGACCTCAGGCTCTTGCTTCTCACAAGATCCATGAGGTCAACTTCACTTTCATGGCTCAGAAGATGTCGCCTCCAAAGGAACCACCTAAGAAAGGGGCACGGAGTTCACATCCACCTCTGTTGCTTTGTGCTGAATGTGAAGACCGGTTTTGTTCTCGCTGTGGAGCATCCACGGTTACACCTATGCTTCGTCGAGTTCTTCGGAGTTTGAACGTGTTGAGCCAAACCATGAACCTCCAGGTGTCGAGTCTCAGGTCCCACTCCATGCAGCCAAGAGTGCAGCCAAGGGGTATGCTATGCCTCGCTTCGAAGGTCGCGTGACAAGGGTGGGCCCTGCAAAGGCCATGGTGGCATTGGAATACATGTCCAAGACTCAAAAGAAAGAGCTCTACAAGCAGCTGAAGAAAGAGAAGGAAAAGGAAGATGAAGAACGAAGGGAGCCCAGGAAAGACAGAGCCATGTCCACCGATGTCCCCTCTCACAGGACAGATCGTGAGAACACCACTTACTGATGATCTGCCCACATGTGTCCGGAAGAAGAGGCTTGATGAGTTCAGGCAGACTTTGTATCATGAACGTGTTGACCGACTTGGCTACCTTCAACCATCAGAAGGATCCTCCCCTCCTGATGAGAAACAGGAGAGGTGCAAGCATCCCTTCTTGAAGTTGCGCTGGTCTGCAAACCAGCATGGTCACTTTGCCATGTTGCAAAGGAACCACCTGTGCAAGGACTTCTACCAGAGCTGTTGGCCATTGGCGATTCAGGATGCAAGACCGCTGTGGGTGGACTTAATTGGCATCAACGCTTCCAGAATATTTCAGAATGAGCTTCGGAGGCGTGGCCTGAGCTGGCTACAGTTCAGGAAGCTGAGTTGTTCAAGTTTGGTGCTGGTGAGGCCCTCATAGATCCTCAGAAAAGCGTGTTTTTGGATGCCCTCAGTTCCCTGTTCTTCGTGGGGAAACCAGCCCCCAAAAAGGGTCAAAGGCTACACAATTGTACACTGCATAGGCACCCCCAGTCAGCAGTGTTATAGGCACACCCTACACCACTGTAAAGGTCAAAGGGTGTGCCTATACACTGCTGACTTGCCTATGCTGGGGGGTTCGCGAGGTCAGAATTTGTGAAAGGGGTGGCTTCAGCTTCGCGCAACACCAGGGGCTGAAGTTGAAGTGGTTTCGAGGAGTTGACAAATTTCTTTAGAAGTTGAAGATGAATTGAGCTGGCCCACATCTATCCAGTTGGTCTTCATGGTCACAAATGTCAGTAGTGCTTGAGAAGGATGCGGTTGACTGTCCAGGCCTCATCGGACCTGCAAATATGGCCAAATGGCATGTCGTGTTCAAGTTCCATGATCGGCAGATGGTCACCATGGGTCTGACACGACCTATGGTTCTAACAGCCACGAGACATCCAGGTCTCAACCTCTGTGAGTATGGCAAGCT